CAATTAATTTCTTTGTATTTTTAGTAGAGACGGGGTCTCGCTCTTGCTCAGGCTGGTTTCGAACTCCTGAGCTCAAACAATCCGCCCACCTCGGCCTTCCAGAGAGCTAGGACTACAGGCGTGAGCCACCGCGCCCGGCCAAATCTTTTGCTTTTTATTTCTCCAATTGTTGCTGTGCTTACAGTAGCCTTTGGTGGAATGCTTTCTTCCTCTTGGCTCTTGTTAAAATGTATGATATTCATTATTCAAGGTGTTTTTTCATCTCTTCTCCTCTGATTCTTAAAACAATTTTAAAAGGCAAGTGGCACAGATGCTGTTGTCTCCAGGGTTACATAGTAAGCATCAAAGACTTCTTGAATTCTCTCTTCACATTTCAGATTGACATTCATGTGTATGTTTTATCAAAACCCTTCTGTGCTACAGGCACAAGTATACTACAGATGTAGCAATGATAAAGGCACTGTTTCTGCACTCAAGAAAGAGTCTAGTGGTGAAATGAACAAATAATCTGCAATTACTTCACAAAATGATAAGTGCTACCAGAGGATCCACAGTGTGTTATGGAAGAGCATAGGAGGGACCCCCTACTCAGATTTTAGAAGATGTCCTTGAGGACTTCTCTTGAGTTCTCAAGTATGATTAGGAGTTACCCAGATGCAGGAGGAACAGAGGGTGTTTCAGGCAGAGAGAGCAGTAGGCGCAAGGTTTGAAAGTGAGAAGGCTTGTTCTCCCTCAGAGAAGCACAGTAGTTCTTGAGAACTGGAGTATGGGGTGAGAGGAGGAATGGCTTGTGTGGTGAGTAGGTTATGAGGGGTAAGCTTCCAGCTAGGCAGATCAGTTAGTATATTGTTTCAGAGTCTAGATGAGAGATGATGGTAGCCTGAATTTAATATAGTAGCAGTAGTGATGGAGAAAACTGAACAAAGTTGAGCTATGTAAAGGATAGAACAGACAGGACTTGCTAGTTGATGGTATGTGAGTGAAAAAGAGGAGAGGAAGGTCTCTGTCTTAAGCAATCAGTGTATCATACTACACTGACCAAGAGAGGGTTCTCAAGGACAGGACCAGGGCTCAAGATACCTGACGGAAAGTCCCACTGTCAACCCCTCTGTGATAGCACAGCCCTCATAGTCCCCTCCAGATGCCTCAACAGAATGACGTGTGAACTAGGAAGAGTACCAGTGTTAATTCATATAGTCAATGTCAGTAAACATTCATGTCTTTTTAAAATTTTTATTAAAAATATAAATAATTTTTTCTGCAACTTAGAATATGTGCACTCCTTTTTTGGAAACCATTGATAAATAGTTTGTGAAAATGTTTTGCAAATATAGAGCAGTTCGCACTTTGGAGCAGATAGACCTGGCTCCCACCTCTTGTTCTACCACTTCGCTGATGGTTGTGAGCAGGTCGCTTACTCTCTTTGAGCCTCATCTGTAAAATGGCAATGATACTTTGCAGGATTATTGCTGAGGTCCAGAGATCATGTATATAAGGTATATAACCTAATGCCTGGACTATTATAAGCACTCAGTAAACGGTATGTTTATGAATTATTACATAGGTAGTCTTCATTTATATTTTATAATTTTTTAAATTTTAAAAAATTTTTCAATTGTGGTTAAAAACACATAAAAGTCACCATCTTAACTGTTTAAGAATATAGTTTAGTAGTGTTAAGTATATTCATATCGTGTGACAGATCTCTAGAACTTTTCATCTTGCTAAACTGAAACTTTATACTCATTAAACAACTGCCCATCCTCATCCCCCTCAGCCTCTGGCAACCACCATTCTACTTTTTGTTTCTAATTTGACTACTTTAAATACCTCAAATATTAGGATGCATTTTACAATTCTTGAAAATGAAAAAGATACCAAGTGTAATTAAGCTGTTGATACATTTTGCATAGGTGCTGCCTGTGAGTAAAAATAGCCAAATGATTACATTTACTTTTCAAAATGGCTGTGTTGCTACTCTTCGGACAAGTGGGACGGAACCAAAGATAAAGTATTATGCAGAGATGTGTGCATCACCTGACCAGAGGTGAGAGGTGATTTTTTATATATGTATATATTAATAAAAGCTTTAGTAAGATATAATTCACATACCATACAGTTCACTCATTTAAAATGTACAATTTACTGGTTTTTAGTATGTTCATAGAATTGCACAACCATCATCACAGTCAATTTTAGAACATTTTCATCACCCCCAAAAGAAGCCTTATACCCATGGGGCATATGGAAGAGAACAACCAAGAACTCTATGCACTGAACCTTGTGTTAGTTTTCTCTCTCTATCTCATCTGGCTGCATATCTTTTTCCTTTTATTTTCTTTCTTTTTGGTCACTGACTAAATAAACTGTATAAATTTAAAGTGAAATGGTCTGGAGGGAAGTGATTCAAATTTTTTCGTAATCTTGAAGTCACTTCCCATTTCTCTCCCTCAGAGCCCTAAGCAGCCACCAATCTACTATCTTTCTCTATAGATTTGCTTGTTCTGGACATTTTATACAAATGGAATCATACAAATGTGGTCCTTTGTGACTGCCATCTTTTACTTAGCATAATGTTTTCTAGGTTCATCCATATTGTAGCATGAATCAGTACTTTATTCCTCTTTTTTAAAGTTTGTATTTTATGGCCCAGTAGTATTCAATTGTATGGATATGTCACATTTTTTAATCCATTCATCAGTTGATGGACATTCAGGTTATTTACACTTTTAGGTTATTATCAATAATACTGTTATGACCATTTGTATACAAGTTTTTGTGTGAACATATGTTTTCATTCCTCTTGGGTATACAGCTAGCAGTGGAATTCCTGGGTCATATAGTAACTTCATTTATTTAACCTTTTGAGGAACTGCCAGACTATTTTCCAAAGCAGCTGCATCATTTGGGAATTGAATTTTAAAATTGTAATGAATTTCTATTCTTGGAAAGAATCTCTGATCTTTAACCATTATATGATGAACATAAATGATCGACAAGTAACTTGTGTTTATTGCCAAATACTCATTTTATACATCTAATTTGACATAATCTTCCCAGTTCATTTCCTTTTAACGGTATGAATTACAGCTAAATTAACTTGATAAACATATTCAAAGGCTATTTAAACCTATTAAAAGTTTCCTTCCTATAATGTTGTCACTGACCAATGTATTTTGGGGAAGCAGGTTTTTTGGAATTGCCTTCAGAGCTCAACCAAGCTACATTATTTTGTATTTCCCCAAATCTGTGTATTTAAGGATAGATTTTATTTCCTTTGGAGGAAAAAAAGAGAGAGAAAGAGACCTGAAGTCATGCAGAGCAGAGTTTAAAGTAAAATAAATTGGGTAATGCTATATTTGGTTAAAAAATGAAGTATGAGGCCGGGCGTTGTGGCTCACAGCTGGAATCCTAGCACTTTGGGAGGCCAAGGCAGGAGGATTGCTTGAGCCCAGGAGTTCAAAACCAGCATGAGCAACATAGCGAGACACCATCTCTATAAAAAAATTTTTTAGAAAATTAGCCAGGCATGGTGGCACACGCCTATAGTCCCAGCTACTGGGGAGGCTGAGGCAGGAGGATCCCCTGAGCCCAGGAGTTTGAAAGGTTGCAGTGAGCTATGATCACACCACTGCACTCTAACCTGGGCAACAGAGAGACTCTGTCTCAAAGGAAAGGAAAAAGAAGGATGATTATTAAAGTAATAAAAACTGATTTGTTTGTTGTGTGGCTTATAAAATAAGTGTGAAAGCAGTTAAAAAGAGGCTTTCCTAGAAATGTTTTGGACAACAGGAGCTCCTCAGTGATGAATTTGAAGGACTTATTTGTAAATGCATTGTTTTTTTTATTGAGACAGAGCCTCATTGTGTCGCCCTGGCTAGAGTGCAGTGGAGTCATCATAGCTCACTGCAACCTCAAACTCCTGGGCTCAAATGATCCTCCCACCTCAGCCTCCGGAGTAGCTGGGACTACAGGCATGCACCATGATGTTGGGCTAATTTTATCTAATTTTAGTAGGACAGGGTCTCACTCTTGCTCAGGCTGGTCTCAAACTCCTGAGCTCAAACAGTCCTCCCTCCTCGGCCTCCCAGAGTGCTAGGATTACAAATGTGAGCCACCGTACCCGGCCTCATATTTATTTTTTAAACATCTCATTCTTTTACTCATGCCTCCATCTGCTGCCTGAAAGATGTGTCTTATCACCCCATAACATCTGTACTGAGTATTCTTCAAAGTATTTCAAGAAGCCATTTTATCTTAATACCTGGTATTGGTGTTCAAAGCCATTAAATTACCTGACCTAGGAGAATTCTTTAGATTTAGATTTATAGTATAACTGCTTTACTTTAAATCTACTTTAGATTTATAATATAACTGCTCCATTTGTCCTGTGCTCAGGGATTCCTATTAGTGCAGTTCAACTTCAGTTTGTCAGTGGTGTTGTCTTTGTGTATGATTTTTTTTTGTCTTTTTTTTTTTTTTAACTAAGTAAATTTATCTTTTGTATACCAATTATTTAACCATTCCATTAGGTATATGTCCTCTTAAAAAGTGAAAATAACTTAATCAAATTTTAAGGATGTGAAAATAAAGAATTCCAAAATTCTTAATCTTTTGTTCTCAGTGACATTGCCTTACTGGAAGAAGAACTGAAGAAACTCATTGAAGCTCTGATTGAGAATTTTCTTGAGCCCAGTAAGAATGGACTGACCTGGCGTTCTGTTTAGGGGTACACCAGTGGGTCACGACTTTGTACTGGCATATGGAACAGAACAACCAAGAACTCCACGCATTGAACCTTGTGTTAGTATTCTCTATCTCATCTGGCCAAGTATCTTTTGCCTTTTATTTTCTTTGTTTTTTGTCCACTGACTAAACAAACTGTATAAATTTAAAATGAAGTGGTCTGGAGGGAAATGATTGAGTTTTTTTCATAATCGTGAACAAAAGTTAGTACATTAAAAATATTAGAGTCACGTGTTGTTCTTCCTTTAACAGAAACATAACAATACAAAAGGAAGTTTTCTTATTAAAGTGTGATTAAGCCTAGTTCCATATATTGTAATTGTGTATAGCATGGTAAAAGAAAAAGACAGATAAATGTTATGTAACTATAGGGTTAGTTAAGGAAATTAATCCATAAAATTGGCAAGAAAATGGTACTGTTCCTAGATCATTATAGAAAAGTGTCACTGTTACATTACAGGCATTAATTTACAAATTAGAATATTTGAAATAGGATATTTAGCATTTCTAGTTTAGAACAGATGTTACAATATGTGGTTTCGGCACCTCTGTTTCAGTGCCCTTGGTGCAGTATAAATTTACTGTATGTATTTAAAATTCAGAAGTTTACTGAACATAAAACAATAGTGGCAACACTCCTATTGGCTTTGTTCTTGTCAAATTTCTCAGTGCCTTCTCAGGATCTGAGATGAACTGAAAGTGTTCCTGCATTGAATATAATTAAAGAAGATGGTTAAGGAAATTTTCAGATAGTTGAGGAAAATCTTCCAAACTATATAGGTGCTTCCTCTATATCAAATGAGCTTGCTGATTTAAAAATCTTATGAATGTAAATAAAGATTTTAATAAAAGCAGGCTTAATGTAACTGTAGTTAAGGATCTTCATGTTAGAATTGTGTCAGTTTTCATAACCTTTAAAGAAAAAAATCTTAACTGAGAAAGGAGCTCTGAATTTATTTGACACTCTAACTTTTGAATTACATTTTTTGTAAGTATATTTATTCCTTTATCTTATGAAGTAATGTTAATTTCACAAAGAAATAAGATCCAGATTTTAAGTATTATGAAACACGAAAACTACAAGTTTTAAAACAAAAGTCCAGTTTATTCTAACATCTTCTGTAGAATTTCTGATCACATGGGTACTATTAATATTTATCTTTTTTAATGTGGAAAAAAATTTTTTCAGGAAATCACTCATAGTTGATTCTGTGGTCTTCTGAAAAGATTTAATAGAAAAATGCTATTTAATCTTCTTAAAGTGTACCTTGTCCTATATAGTTCTCAGAATACACATATATTATAGTTAGAGGTAACAATAACAAGGCTGTGGGTGTAATCATACTAAATAAATTGCCTACAGGAGATAGCACTGGTATTACAGAATTTATTTCCTAAAAAAGTAATAATAATACAAAGTTTGAACTGATTAGAATGTTCATTAAATCATGGTTTGGTTTGTTGCGGCTCTCAGCTGACATTTGGTTGAGCCCATATAATCCAAACACAATTTTCAAATTATTGCATTGCCACTATTGTTAATTTGTTCTTTCCTTCCTTTCTTATAGCTGGATCTTGTATGACTGTAGATAATAGACAGGTAGCTAAATGTAGAGCACCATTTGTCTGGATGAGTTTGTTTCCAAAGGATTTGCACTGGAGAAGAAATGTGTAGAATTTTTTGTATTAAAAATGTGTAAAACATTTTTTGTTTTATTTGCCTTTAGGAATGTAGATTGTAACTTAGGAAATGGCGTATATTCTACAAAGTGGTATAAACAATATTGTATATATAAAAAAAGTGTATATTTGGTTCTCGTATCTGTGTTTCAGTGACTGACGAACAAAAATGAAGCTAAAATGACATGACAGCCCATTCATGGTTACTAAAGCCATGTCATGGTTATCATTCTATTAGGAAGAGAATAGTTTTATGTGCATGCTTTAATATAATGAAACATTTAAGTCATCTTAGTCGAGGTGAAAAGTTATTGAAGTTTGGATCTTACCTCAAAAATGTAAAAGTCCAAAGTTAAAATTAACAAGATTTTACAAATGTTCCCAAAGTGTGTAGATTTAGGGAATTACTTGATTCTAGTAAGCTATCAAGGCTGAGCATGATATTTAAAATGAAGTTGACATAGTGGGTGCACATTTGCCCAACAGGAAAAATTCGATCATACCCCAAGCAAGCCAAGAGAGACAGAAGTGCTGGCCTTTGGAGCACTGCATTGTTTATCTTTTTCTTTTTGAACAATATCATGGAAATGAATATATTCTCATTGAGCATGTAAATCAAAGCTGGAGTCTTCTAGAGCTTTGGGGGAAGGGAAGAATTAGTGAGGCAAGATCAAAGCATAAATTGGAAGTAAATAGTAGAAATAAACAATATAAAGTCAACAGGCAGCACAGGAAATGCTTCTCATGAAGGGCAAACCTAAAAGTAGGGAATAAACTGGCTGCAAGTTGTTTACTTGTGTTTACTTGTTATGATGGATAGTGAACCTATTGTTTTCCTTTATTAATGATCACTAAAAACAGCCCAAGTTTTAGGAGGTGAGGAAAAGTACCCCTCTTACAGATTCAATCCCTGCTAGGATATTGTGTTAGAATCACATGAGAACTTGGGAGGAGACAGAGCAGAAATAAAAAAGAATAAAATGTAGATTGGAAAATAAGACCTCTGAAATGTTCTGGAAATTAAGATCATTTAACCCTGGAGAGGAGAAAGCTTCTGAGATAGTTTACTAAGCCTTAAGTTATTAATTGAGGCTTTTATTGAGGGACTCAAAGTAAAAAGTACTATACCATACTGTTCTCCATCTCTAATGAGGACAGAACCAGCAGGAATAAGGATCTTAAAAAAGAAAAAAAATAAATAAAAAAGACAGCATGAAAAGTGTAAGTTAAGATTTAAGAACATCTTTGGGAGGAATCATCATGTCTTCTATTTGAAATCAGGAATAAAAATTTTAAATATTAAGGGATATACAAATGTCATAAAAAGTATTAAAAGTAACATTTGGGTTCTTTCACTCCATATCTAGAAGAATTTAGCTCACAAAATAATTTTTGTATATGTTGAGTAGTAGATGTGTAGGTGCAATGAATAAAGACGTGCTTGGATGTTATTTTTTATTTTTTTTTTTTTTGAGACAGAGTCTCACTCTTTTGCCCGGGCTAGAGTGAGTGCCGTGGCATCAGCCTAGCTCACAGCAACCTCAAACTCCTGGGCTCAAGCAATCCTCCTGCCTCAGCCTCCCGAGTAGCTGGGACTACAGGCATGTGCCACCATGCCTGGCTAATTTTTTCTATATATTTTTAATTGTCCAATTAATTTCTTTGTATTTTTAGTAGAGATGGGGTCTCGCTCTTGCTCAGGCTGGTTTCGAACTCCTGAGCTCAAACAATCCGCCCGCCTCGGCCTCCCAGAGAGCTAGGATTACAGGTGTGAGCCACCGCGCCCGGCCATTGGATGTTATTTTTAATTAACCTGGCAAATTAAGTGAGACTTGAACACAGTTTTGTTCATCTTAAAGAATGTAAAGCATTGTAGGTTATTTGAGGGTTTTGTTCTAAATATAAAGTATTGTTATTTGGATGTAGTAACTTCAGCAGACAGAGAGGTTCTAGGAGATTGGATACTTTGGAACATCTCCATATAGGAAACAGATATTCTGTTCCTTAAGCAGGTTGTTTCTGCAATTGATGCAATAGAGATGTTAGCTGGAGTTTAATGGATAAATTGTTCTATGAACTGCTGCTATTGGTATTTCTTTCACGTTTTCCATTGATGTTTGTGATGCTTGAAAAATCCAAATTATGCTTGGATAAATTTAATTTTATGCCTTTTTCTCTCCACCTCCCTGTTTCCCTAAATACCCTTCCACATTTTGTTACTGTGAAGAGCTATTACCCTATTACCTCAGCGATAAGAAACTTAACTGTATTCATTCAGAATACTTTAAACTTACTCATAAACTGCATTTGTTTATGGACTTTTGGTTAGTTTGTTATTAATGTCAGAATATTTAAGGCTTATTGTAAGAAGTAATCTTAAATCTATTTCATAATTTGTTTTGGTCTCTCTGGATACTATTATATGTTAATATATTATGGCCTTTTACAGTTCACTTGTTTTCTGAGATTGCTCTGGAAACTGATGAGGAAAGAGTCATACTAACCAAAATGAATGGTCAGTCGATCTATTAATAGCATTTTATTTCAGGGTTCCTTGTACTTGGGACAGCCAAAGCACAAGATTTCAGGAAATCTTTTTCATATTTATTCCTTAAAGCATCTTACCATAATCCATAAGAAGTCTAAACAGAAAGAAAAGAATTGCTCACTGTCCAACTGTTTACACAACATGACTTTAGTTCTAGTTAGAAACAAAGTCAGTGTTGACTACTGGTTCCCTTAAAATGTTCACCATACTGTTACATTCATTAAGCTATCTTTCCTCTTTGTTAATTCAGGACTATGTACTTTAAAAAGAGAACCTACAAGAATGTGTAAAGTGACCAAGAGATGGTTAAAGTGACGTATCTAGAGTGTGCTTCTCAAATTTCTCCACCAGCATAACCCTAAACAGAGGAGCATGAAGGAAGAGGAAGGGGTTCTGAGAGCAAAATCAGAGGCAGCCTACCACTGACATGAAATGCTGTGTTCTGTCTTTAAAATGTAAGTGTGTTTTGCATTCTCCATAATAAAACTGTTTTAAAATACAGATGATCTCTTCAGTCCTCACTAACAGATGCTGCCAAAAAGGAGCACTGTGGTTATCACATGGCTGCTCAGTTTTCTCCCCCAACAGCCCTACCCCCAATTGTTGCATATCCCTGGGGAATACATACTGGCTCTAGTGTGAGAAATAGAAACATAGAACATATCTAGACTATTCCCTGCTCTTTAGAATCTGACCTTCTAAAGGATTAATGCCAATTTAAACTGGCCTGAAACAGTTCTGTTACCATTGAACCTCATAATAGTAATGTGAGGTGTTTGTTGGCCAGTTTTCTTTAATTCGCTGGTGTTCCTTGATGAAGGAGGAGCCCCCAGTGATCAGCTCCCTGAGAGCAGGGATCATAATTTTTCATATCCACAACACCTAGTTCAGTACCTGTTATAGAGTGTTTAATTGGTGATAATAGTAATTAAGGGATTTTATATTAAAGAAGCAAATAATCTAAGGAACAATCAAAAAATTAATTTTCTAATTCAGCTTTTTGAACGACTTCTGTTACTGAAATTTATAATGCAGTGTTTATGAAGCACGCACACCCTTAAATACTCAGTTTCTTTGGAGAAAGCAAAGCATATTTCTATGTGGAAATTGTATATAA